TCATATAACACATCTCATATAACACATATAACACATCTCATATAACACATATAACACATCTCATATAACACATATAACACATCTCATATAACACATATAACACATCTCATATAACACATCTCATATAACACATATAACACATCTCATATAACACAAATAACAAATCTCATGTAACACATATAACACATCTCATATAACACATATAACACATCTCATATAACACAAATAACACATCTCATATAACACAAATAACACATCTCATATAACACAAATAACACATATAACATATCTCATATAACACAAATAACACATATAACACATCTCATATAACACATACAGTATAACACATATAACACATCTCATATAACACATATAACACATTGCCTCAGTTGTTTTTCACGGTATAACTTTTGAAAGTTGAGTTTTATTAGAAAAACGTTAGAAGTAAGTAAATCAGTTTAGGTCCAGTATCAGTACTTGTAACATGTTAAATGTAAAGCAGTTTATTCAGCTCTGTTTAGTGGAGTCTTGTTGGGAAATATACTGTACTTATACAACACTTTTCTATCCAACCAGGACACTCAAAGCTCTTCACACTACAATCTGTCATTTATCCATTCACACAGCACTCTGTTAGCTCTCTACAAAGCTAACGTGTACAATCTATACTTACTCCTCTAACCACTCTGCCACAGCCGCCCCTTATAACTTAAATAAAGTCAACGCTTCATTTTTTAGAGTGCATAAACAAGTCTTTTCATGATGAGTTCCAGTCTATCTAAATATCTGTATGTAAATCTGTAGTGTGTAACTAGGTGTTAAACTGTGACGTCTTCCTTCTAGAAGGCCACCTGGGACCTGTTCTAGTCAAAGGTTTTCTGTTGCTGGAGATCCAATGTGGGCACAACTCCTACATTGGTTTTACTGCACCAGGCGGCCTTCAGGGTGGTAAAAAAACAAATGAAGTCAAAAAGTAAAAGTATAATTTTTATCTTTTGAATGTACTGAAATAAAAGTAAAAGTTACAGATAAAAAATATACTTGATAAAATAAGAAAAAATCCTCAAAAAAAGACTAAGTACTGTAAGAAAGTAAATATACTTGTGTTCTGTTGTGTTTTCAGCTGGTGTGGATCAGAGACTGCTCCTCTCCTGTTCACCAACAATCCTTCAGAGCAGAGCCACCAGCACCACTCTTTCTACTCCACACCACAGAACTGATCCTGACTGTCAGCCACTGTCTGAGCCAACATGTCCATGACAGAAGACAGGATGCTTGGTCTGAGGACAGGATCTCATTTGCACTGAAAACCTCAGAACAAAGAATTTGCACCTTGTAAAGAGTGGATGTTTTATCTGATGCACTTCTCTTCGGCTTTACAGAACAAACAAGAAGGAAAGGTTTGGACAGATTTAGATGAAAGTAGAGTTGTGTCATTTAGCTCCAGTAGGAAGTGGTATGGTCTGGTGAATGTGGATGGGTCAGGACCTCATGTGAGCAGGGGTCTCATTAGTGGACCTGCTGCTCTCCTCAAAAACACACTGAGCTTTATTCAAACCTTGTCCTCCCTCAGATGAAGACCACCAGGTTAGAAACACTCATTCTGAGTTTATAACAAAGCATAAAGTGGTTCCCCAAGAAATCTTTCCCTTTGACCACTCAGAGCCAGGCAGTGGCCTAAAGTAGTGCAAACAGGTCTGTAGTTCAACGCCACAGGCACACACTAAATGTCCTGTTGTTTGTTTATTAAAGGTAAAAAGGTGTAAAAATATATATCTCAAAGTTAATGTATGTATGTATATATCAGGACATTAATATGTGTGTTCAGTAATAATTTTTGAATAGATATTTGATGACATGTTATTTATATGTATATTTGAATGATTCAGTTGTAAATTCTGTTAGTTAAGGACAGGAGGAGGGGGACAGGCATAGCACCAGTTTTTGACCTCCCTCTTTCTCTCACTTCCTCTTATTTAAAGTTATGTTGCTCTTTGTGTTATGTTTAGATTTTATAGATATATATTTTGTATATTTTATTGTTTGATTTTGAGATAAACAGTTCAAACTTGAACACCGTGGTGCTGAGGAGTGTTTTCAGCTGGAAAGTATCAAACTGTGGTTTCATAGAAACTGATGTTTAATAACTTACATAATTATAAAGGATGGACAAAGAGCATGGCAAACAGTAATGGATCACCTGAATGCCTAAAAGAAACTTTTGATAACCCTTAACAGAAAACATTGTAATCATATGAGTCATTTGCTCCAACGGACAACTTTCAACTTAAAACTGAGCGTTGGAAGTTTATAATGTCGTACACGTTACTCTTCTTTTGTTCCACATCTTGTCAATGTTCATGCAGTATGAACATGACTGCACCAAAGATAAATACAAGAACTTTTTGCAGACTAGTAAGTATCTGGAAAAGATTTTGACCACAATGTACAAATGTCTTAGATGGTGCTCACATATTTCAGCCCTATATTTCTTTAACCAATAAAACAGGTTCATATGTCAGTGGGGAGAGGGGGGGCGGGGTTCAGGCCCTTCATTTAAATAAAGGTGGGCCTGTTTTAGAAAGGATCGAGGGAGGACCACTGACTGTGTCCCACCCATAAAGCTGCCTCCTTCATACATGGCCCATCATTCCTCTACTGAATATGCAACGTAATCACACATCTCTGTAGTATGATAATGGACTGATCAGTGGGGGGCTGAACAGTGGCGGATCTAGGATTTTTCTGCGTAAGGGGGCCCATCAAGGGGCCACTATTCATGGAGGGGCCAAATATTTGTTCAACATCCTTGTACATAAATCCTAAATTTTGGTAAGGTGTATAAATTTAACCAGTCACATATGATCCAACAAATGTAACGTAATGTTATCAAAAAAGCTTTAACTCTCCATATCAATGTTACAAACATTTTTACTGTACATGGAAAAAATATTCTCAAAGCATGAGAGAAAATGAAGCCATTATTTGCTAACTGAAAGATATTTTTTGCAAAATTGTTCAAGTCTTTTAAAGAAGATAAGAAACTGGACCCACCATCATTGCTCTCAGGCAAAGGACAGAGGAGTGACAGGACAGGGGCACTTCAGGGGGCCAATCAGATTTCAGCAGGGGCCAATGCCCCAGTGGCCCCACCCCTAGAACCGCCCCTGGGGCTGAATGTTGGGACCCAGCAGTCTGCACAGGTAGCAGATGCCAGCCCCAGAAGAACGGTGATGCTCGTGATGGTAATAGTCAGGAAAAGCCAGACTTAAACACTCTTTCCTTTCTGAAAGCCCTTCTACATATCAGTGCTTCATCATCGACAATGTCATTCAATATGGGCACGCCATTGTTTTTTTTTTTGGGATGGCCTCCCTTCACCCCTTATAGCCATCCTCTCCACACCATTATGATTTTTTTAAGTGAAGAGAAATAGAGACAGAGAGAAAAACAGAGAGAGAAGTAATAAGAAAGATTGAAAGACTGAAATAGCAGATTATATATAGAATTAGGATTATATTAAATATACACCAACAAAACACAGGACCACACACCCAACATCTGTCCGCTCACCTGAAAAATAAATGAATACATGGAGGGCAAATATAAATATATACACAGACCCATACATATATAAAGATATACATACATACATGCCTACATTCATAAATATTGTCAGTATATACACACAGACATATATACACACTCAGTGACCAGTCAGAACCCCCCGGATCAGAGCACCTGTTTGTGAGCAGTTGTGAACATGTGTGTATATACAAGATTTCTCCAATGGAATATTTAATTGTGAGTGTGGAGAAACGAGACCCAACCCCCAAGATACGAGGCAGATACATGGGAGACCAGAGCCCAAGGACCCGAGAGGCCTAGAG